TACGTAATAGTAATAGGGACTGGAGACATCCAAATCACAGAGGAGTCCACTAAACAAAGATTTTTGAATATTTAAAAGTATCTTTCTAGAAATTCTGGATTTGTTTCTTTCCTTTCACCACTGCTTTTCTGGGAGAATGTCATTTGAAGTTTTTATTTCTTAGATAAACGAACTGTCATGAGTTCAGAGGAACATCAGAATTTGTGGCTGTGACCCACTTCAAGGGACCCAGTGCAGCTGGAAGCACTGCAGTATCCCTGCACCCATCCCGGCACCCAAGCACTAAGGTCAACATTTCTAAAGCTTATGTCCTCATTTCAGGTCTCCCACATGACTGCAATTCCTGCTGTCTGCAGCTGATCTTGCCAAGGTAAGCCCCCTAACCTCACCCACAATGTCACCCCATGTGTCTCACTACACTGTCACTCCCTTCCACCACAGGCCAGCAGGCAGCTCTGGCTGGCAGGCATTGCTGCAGTTTTCCAGTGCTAAAATCCAGATAATCCAAGGTGTTTAAAGTGAAGATGCTGCTTGTAAACTCCAATTACGCTTCACACTTACTCTGCTGTGTGCTTGTAAAAACAGCATTACTTCAGGAAGGCTTCACTGCATGAGCACCAGGGCATTTCGATTTTTCACTATGTCAGCAAAACAGTGGGGAAGCATGATCAGTGCTTGACAGCTTGGGTAATTCAAATGCAAATGTATAAACCCTGTCAGTCATGGGAGAAACAGTCAAATAAAGACATCTCCCATGACAAGGGCAATTAAATGGGCTGCTTTTCCTCCTACTGTGCAAAGATTTTCCTTAATTTCCTGTCACTGGCTGAGCTAGCCTTGGCTTTTCTGCCTGAGCCAGTGGCCCAGGTGCCACCGCTCTCACAGGCGCCTCTATACCCCTTCCCTTGCACCCAAGAGGAGGAGGGCAGGCCAGCCGATGAACCCAAATTTCCTCTTTGCTGGGATTTGCTGAGCAACAACTGAAGAAATCCGCTGCCTCGACAGAGCAGAGCAGCAGAGCAGACAGATGTCCTTCCCCTGCCAACCCCATTTACAGTCCCAAACCACACAAACACGCATACACACGGACGGACTGCTTGTTTCCTTGCTCTTGTATACTCAGCCCTGGCGCCTTATCGCTCATGGAGGGTGGCTGTAAGCACACCACAGGCCTTAACGCTTTCCTGTCTGCTCTGCATATTTGCCAAGCTCACAGGAGAACAGGTCTCACCCACAGCTCCCACTGCTCCTGCAATGCAGCTAGACAGATGCAAGCACCCTGCAGCCAGCGGAGTCGTCCCACTAATATTGTTAACTCTTTTTTGCCCTTTCTTGCACTCTCTCTCAAAGAATCTACCTTTAGCCTGATGTGATCTCATGACCGTACACAGAGCCAGCCTAAGCACCTGGGGATACTTTGGCTATGCCCTACCTAACTAAACCTGTGTCTGCATCCAGAGCACCTTGAAGTCTGGGAGGCTCTCACTGCAGGAAAAGCTGAAATCACTGGTTTGTCCCTCTGTTTCTCCTTGAAAAAAGTTTGCAAGTGAGCAGTTGGTTCTGTGGACAACCACTAGGCTTTGGCGGGTCAAACCACTGAGCAGCTTTAGGTGCTCTGTGTTGGAAGAAGGCCCTCAGCTGAGTGTTTGCAGTCACCAGCAGATGATAGATTCAGTATTATTAACCCTGCCTAACATATGAGAAAGTGGAAATGGAAAGAAAAGTTGTACCCTTGTGCCCATAATGTGGGCTGTGCCATCTATTAAAACTGGGCCCCTTGTTTTCAGAAGGTGAACCAAAGCAACCAAGATGATTTGTACAATTGTAGTAACATGCAGCGTATGTACCGCGCTGTCATGTACTGTATCTGCCCATCACTCCTACCCACTGCCTTTCATACTGTGTTTCAATAGTCACATCTTTGGAAATGACCCTGTTATATCACACTCAAATGCTTTCCTTTAGACAGCAGATTTCTGCCTCCTACGATGCCAGGTCTCTCTAGGCATCACCACAATACCTTTGGTAATGTCAGCAGTTGTTCCCACTTGCTTTTGTCAATGGAAGGACACTGGAACTGAAGTGTTTTTTTGGTTTTGTTTTTTTTTTTTCAGGAGATGAACTATATACAAAGGGTCTGTGGTGCACTGACAAATCTTCCTTTCCTTGGAAGGAAGTGCTATGTGGTGCTTCTCATAACAGATGGTTTAGGATGTTTTTTCTCTCCCATGGTCTATGGCTTTGATTCATGAGAACAGGGACATCCACATGCCTCATGTGAACATCTCAGGTAGGGTTCACATCACTGAACATTAGCCATCTCAGATATGGGCATCTAATCTGTGCTAAGCAGGAAGGCTTCCTCTACACCCAAGGAAACAGATAGGTACCTTGACATAGTGATTTATCCTGTCTCCTCTGGAGGCATCTCTTTCAATGGACTAGGGGACACCTTGCTGACTATCCTGCAGTGTCTCCTTACATCAGACAGCAAAAGCCAAGAGAGATGAGCTTGGGTTTTGCTGTCTGAGTGCCTTTACCTGCTGGATTCCCGAGTCCTTGTGTTACCCTGGTCTCACCACCATGACTCTGTCTTCTGCAGGTGTTTCCCTGCAGGGCTGAGCTGCTGCTCATCCTTCATGCAATGCCACATCTGACCTCAGAAATGGCTGTCTATGGAACCACCTCAGGTACCAGAATCAGCATCTCCCTGCTCCAGGGGCCACAGCAGGGTGTTTGGCTGCCAGTCCCTTCACAGACCCAGGCAGGCATCACTATGCTGGTCACAGTCAACTTGCATCTTGGAAGTTTTCCCTGTACCTTCTAAGTTTACTTTCCTAATGATTCTGACATGATTGATACTGGGGCCTAGAGTTCAGGCTGACAGTTTTAAGGAAATGAAAACAGACTAATAGGCTATGACCTGACAAAAATCTTTGAGCTGACTGTATTATTTTGTAACAAAATTATGCCAGCACTGCTGTTGATACACCAAATCAGAAACTTCAGCAAGCATAATAAATAAGGGTCATTTGTGGTTCAATTAACAGGATTTAAAATTCATAGATCTAATAAAGGTAAAAGTTTTGTTACTATCTTCTTCTGCAGTGGACGGAGGTGCATTAGAAGAGGGTAAAATGATCCCTTGGAAATGGGAACAAAGTCTTCTCCCACATGCATGATTGTCTCCCTTATTGACAAGTGGCACTGAGAAGTGTGATAATGTTTGATCACCGGTGTAGTGTGATGGTTAACAGGATCCAGATAAAGCTGAAGTTCAGTATTTAAAGTCACCAAACCCCAAGCTTGCCACAGCTGCTGTTTTCCATTCTGTTTGTTCACTTCAGGCAAAAAACGCTATTGACGAGCTACTCAGTAAAAGCATTTGTAATGTTTACTTTATGTGGCACATGATCAGATAGCAATGAATCCAACGTAATAGTCTTTATGATGCATTTTTCTTTTCCTGACAGTCCTTAAAACAACTTACGTTACAGCTTTGGAAAGATGAGTTTCCTGGAGAGATACTTATTTTTTTGCCTAACATTTTCTTCAGAGGAAGCAGTGGGGATCCAGCCACCATGTGAAACTCAGGAGTAAAAGTGTAGGTGATCCTTTAACAGGGGATTAGTGAAGTTTTCCTATTTTCCCAACACTTTTAGAGCAAATTGCTTGAAGACTTTTGTCTACACATAGGCCTGTTTGCCATCTACTATTGGAGCAGACAGTGCTATTTTTATATGTATACCAACATGGAGGAGTTAATAAACATATTGACAATTTTGTCTCTGAAACACTATGGAGTCATCTGCTTTCAATGAGAACACATACTGTATATTGAAATATGTGTATAAACTACCTTGAAAACTGAACAAAAACAGTCTGATGGTTTGAAGTAGGTTGGGAGGGGAGACACAGAGTGGTGTGCAAGAGACTACATAAAGCAAACCCAGTTTAATTTCTTTGTGACCAAGAAATACAATCTCCAGGTCTTCTTTGAGCAAAAGAAAACTGAAATAATTTTTCTCATTGGAAATCTTAATACTTCTGTGAGATTTTATAAATTTAGCATGGTGATAATCTTTAATCTCTCTCTGAAGCATCCAAACTAGAAACAAAATATCCTGGTTTCTCTGATGCACATAGGAGTTTCTGTAAAAGCCAACAGTCTAATAAATACTTAAAACCATTCCAGAAAGGTAGGCTTCATCCTTCTAAATAGCATTAAAATTAAAATGTCTTTTGAATTTAAATCTGAATGTTCCGAGACAGTTTTCCAAAGCTTCACAGAAATGTAAAATAGAGCTGGCTTACTGGAAGCATATAATTTGTTAACAGAAAACTTGTTTTCACATATTTTAAAATAGCATCGCTATTACATGTTATTTTTACCAAGCATTATTGGAAGACAAAGTTTCTGAACCAACAGCACGCATCAGTTTTGATTGGATAAGAGGCAAATGGTTTGATCAAGGGAAATATACTGGCTGCAGCAAACCAGGATTCCTGGCTTCAGGCATCCTTATTTGAATATTTGGAACATATTTCATGAAATATTGCTTCACATGTAATTGGCCTTAAGGAAGCAAGCCACTAGAAAGGATTGATTCTAACTGCACTTTAAATTGCTGCTCCAGCGCCTTCACACTCCTTGAAATATAGATCAATTATCTTTTTGGCAAATATGAATGTGCTATCTTTTAGCAGAGCTTCATTAATGGCATTTTGTCTCTCTGGTTGTTAGTTTGATCTTGTTTTTCTTTTAATTAAGCTAGACTATTAGCTAAACTGTACAAACATTTAGTTCAGCCTAGAAAAAGTTCAGTCTGCATCCTCCTCAAGTAGCATGCTCACAATCACCAGAAATTAAGTGAAATTGCGCTTTTTCCCTCATTAGATTAAAAATATACCTGTTATGTGAAAATATGCATTTGTAATCATGAATTTTATGGAGTCACAATTATGCAGGCTTCTTTTCAAGGCTACAGTAGCCAGCTTACCTGTCAGCTGAGAGAGCAGTGAGAGTAAAGACTGACACCCCTACAGAGGTGAGCTGTATGAAGGGGATAAGTTTGCATCCAGTTCTGCCGAACAGCCACTCGTCAGCAAGGTACCTGCTGGCATCCACGGGCACACAAGTCACCAAAAGCAGCAGATCTCCCAGAGCCAAACTGGAGATGAACAAATTAGGGACATTTCTCATGGACTTCACAGTACAGAAGATCTTAATTAGAGTGATATTGCCAATAAGGCCTATCAAAATGATGATCCCATAGATTGTGGGGATGGCATAGAGGAACGCTGGGTAGAACCAGTTGTCGCTGAGGAGGGAAAGGTTTGCACTCTGGTTGACAGAGATGTTGTAGAGAATGAAGTTATCTGTTTCTAAGTCTAGCAGAAGGCACTCTCCAGATGCCATTGTCCTACTTCGCTCTTCTCAGAAGACAACTTTCTTCTTCGAAAATCCCAAAATAAATATTTTGCTTTAATTTCGCTGCTGCTTGCTGGTTTTAAACAGTCAGAAGAGTTTAAGAGTCACTTTGTGACACATCTTGACAATAAACAAAAAGCAACTGCAGCCTGCTCAACAGGACTGTTTCCATAAGGTGAAAGAACACCTTGTAGCATAGTTTGAATCCTGAAAACTGCCTTTTCCTCATTGACTTGGCTCAGCTGTTAGGTATTCCTCAGGTCTGGAAGGCCGTTTATCAAATTCAAAGACCAGTGAGTGGGAGGCATTTTCAAAATCGAGGCGTGTTAAATTCTCAGCTTCAGGTCTGCTGAGCAGAACCGAGTCCGAAACAAGGGAATTACAAACAGCAAGAACTTTTGGTAGTTGCTGCCGCGCTGCATTGCCAATCTCTCCCGGCTTTCAGCACCTGCACTCACCAGCTGGATTTAAAGCGAGGGAAAAAAAAAACGGGGCTCCGCCGACGGCTCGGATCCTATAGGCAGGATCTTCTGGACGTCAATTCTTCCCCTGCTTCCCCCGATGAGAGCAGGCTCGCCTCAGAGGCTGCGGCGACCGCGGGGGAGCCGCGGGCGAGCGCCGGGGAATGCCAGCCACCTGCTGGCCACTCTCCTCATTGCCCGGCTGCAGGGGAGAGTCAAATCCACACCTACATCACCGGTAACTTGGGGGAGGGGGAAAAAAAAAAAAAAAAAAAAAAAAAAAAAGAAGAAAAAAAAAGTTTTTTTCAAACTGCAAATAACGTGATCAGGAAAGCAATCACACCTTCTTTAATAAGAGCACACATACTTTGTTTGCACTCCAAGTATTCAATTGTTCCAATGAAAGAGAATGATGATATGAAGCCAAAGTCATCCCCCAGGGCAAATGAATTGAATAAAGCTAATTAAGATAAAATCAACATTATAGTTAAGGTAGGCAAATGAGTATTGGCACTATGCACCTGCAGTTAACCAGGGAAGCCTGAACTTTGCATGGTTTTTGTTAATGTTTTAATTTGGAGGTAACAGTAACGAGGGACAAAGTTTGCTGTTCAGTGCAATCATTTCTATTTATGAGGTACCCATCATACTGTCATCTACAGGTAAGGCATGTTTAGACACAGCAGAGAGAAACTTGCTTGGCTTATAAATCTGAAAATGCTCTTTGTTAGAGCTTAATTAAGGTATAACTATTACTGATGACTTACTGCTATATAACAGGCTACTTATGATTATATACGAGGACTTTCTGGACTGCAGAGAAATACAATTAATTTGGAAACTAGCCTGCAGAATTAAATGAAACTGCAATTCACATTTCCCCTTGCGGCTGCTCATTTTTGCAGGCAAAAGAAGGTTTTACCAACAGCTAGAATTACTTGCAAGAGAGGGGGGAGGTGAATTAAATCAGGCATAATGTTTGATCATTGGTTTCTAGATAAAGGAAGCATTTCAGGACATGATCTGAAAAATCTCCAGGTCCTCCAAAGCCATGTCCCAGGGTGGGATTTTGAGGGGGAGACTTCAGTAGCTGTTTCAATGCCTATTTCTTGTGACCTGGGTCAGTGTTTTCAGCTTCTTTGCCGCTGTTCACTCTAAGTCAACAAAGGACTTATGTGTACCCTTAACTTCAAATAGGGTTACTTACATAGTTTTTTCAAGCCAGACACCCAGGAGCATGCTGTGCTGAGGTCGAAGGAACAGAGGAGAGCCAAATTTTCTAGTGTTTCTTTCGGACAAAAACCTGCTTTTAAAAATAGACCTGAGGTTGCCCCTGTTAAAAGCAGAGGACACAGAGCTACTGTGCACGATTTGATCAGGGTGCACAGGCGAAAGCACTTTGGTGGGTCAGGGTCAGCTTGGTGCAAGGTTTCCTGGTTGGGTAGAGGCCAGCCAGAGCTGGTGCTGCGTTTGGCACAGCAGGATGTACTGAAGGCACAGAGAGGCTGCTCTGTATGGAGAGACTGCTTCTGGAGCCACTGAGGCAGCCCAGCCACACTGCGCAGTGGGACACCTCTCACAGAACTTTCCCCAGGATATTTGGAAAGTCTGGTCAGAGGGGCTGCATGACAAAGCGACACACGTTTCCCCCTCTTTGCTTTCTGGCTTTGGGATAAAGTGGAAAGGGCATTTCTGGAAGTGAGAGGAAGATGTGGGAGTAGCCACTCAGTGTAGCCCTTGATGGATCCCTGTGCCCAGCAGTTGGGTCAGCAGTTGGCAGAGACCTGCTCTGAGTAGGAGGTGGGACAGAGACCTCCTATGGTCCCTTCCTCTTCAAATGACTCTGGGATTTGTAAACCTATCACTTAGAGACATAACAGCTCTAGCTCTCATCATGAGTCTTTATTCTTCCAGATGGACAACAAAACAGTCTGTTTGCCAAAAATCCTCTAATAGAACCACCGAGTCCTCATTCATCACTGTTTAAACTCTTCTACACTGAAATCTCTCATTCCATTACATAGCAAACAATGAAGGTTGAGCAAAGTGAAGAAAGGGAAGTAATGCTGGAAACTACTTCTTAGCTTCCAGCAGACAGTGGTGTTGATCACTTGTTTTTTGAGGTGAGTATAGGCAGATACCATGTCCCAGGTGTCTCCATCAGTAAGAAAGGGACTCTCATGACCCCTGGGAGGATTCCCTTCACCTTCACCCTTGCAAGGCTGTTATTTTGTTCCAGGAAACACTTCATCTACAGCTACAACTTTCTAATTTTTGGTTTTCACAAACTCAGGCTTCAGGTTTTAGGACAACCTCTTTTGGCCACAGAGAATGAGATACTGAAAAGACAAATGCAGAATAGGAAAAAAAACCCCAAAACCAACAAACACCCCCACACACACACACACACCACACACCCCCCACCCCCCTGATTCTGTGAAGCTTGAAACTTACTTTAGAGTATAAAAATATTCATTATTTATGTCAGATGTAATAGACTGTTTCAGGGCACGTGACTACTATCAGCATGAAGGACACAGGTTTTATTTACAATTGCCTAGCCTGCAGACATTCCCAGAAGTAACTTAGAAATGTTGAGGATGTTTCCCAGAGATGGTTTTGTCTTGTCATAAATTGCAGATGAGAGGTTTTGTTTATTATAAATGGTGTACCTTTTTCATCATGTCACTCTAGCATTTATCTTCCTTGAGCAGGCAAAATGTCTGGGCATTTATATGAGCATAGCCACCTCTGCATAGTGTTCATTTCAAGCTCTCAAGCCTCTCTCCAAAGGAAGGTAAACATCAATACCCATATTTCACTAGTAGAGTAACCTTCATGCACACAAAAAAGGAGTGGTGACTGGCACAAAGTTACTTAACAGGCTGTTGGCGGGGTTGTGAATAGAATAATGCAGGTCTCCGGAGCCTGGTCCTGCATTATAATGGTTTTCTGTTGGACAATGAGAGATTCCACAGATACTTTCAATAAATGCTTTTTTTCAGCTTTCAACCTTTATCCAACCTCTAAATGACAGCTGCAAAGAGATGATCTTCTTACTCCTTAATTGTGCACAGTGGGGGAGATTTGTAAAAGAGCTCGATGGTTAAAATTTTCAAAAGCAGTTAAATCTATTTGAAAGGTAATGAAAGTTAGGCTCCTACACTGATCATGAGCTTACCGCCCAGAAACAGAGCCAGAGTTTCACATAAATGCAGTCTGCATTGAGAAAAGCACACGAGGAATCATTTTTCAAAGGCACTTGGAGAGCTGCAGCTGCCACAGTGACAGCTACAGGCAGATTTTCAAAGAGCCCAAACATCCAGTGTACTGAGGTCTTTTGAAAGACTCTGACCATTTATTCTGCATACCCAAATGGACTTCTTTTGAAAATCTAGTGCAATGGGGGATTTCTGACCCCCGGTGAGGTCCCATGGGAGATGACCTGGTGATGGAAGCTGGAGGATGCTTCTGCGTCCACCTGCAGACCCAGAGTCTGGCCAAGGCTGGCACGGCCATCACCTCAGAGGGCAGGAGCATGCCAGCTGCACTGGGGTGGGCAGCCCATGCACCATCCTCCACACCAGGCACCTCCAGCACAGAGGGAACAGGGAGGCAATGGGGATTGTCTCCCTGAAAGCATGGCTCTTTGCCAAGCATGTCACGTCTGTTATCTTGCAACAATATGACTTTCCATTGTAATGGCCTCTTGCACATCTCCTCAGAGGAGATGGATAAACTCCCTTCCACAGTCAAATGTCAGGAGAGAAGTTCCTGTGCTCAGGGCTCTGCTGTTTCCTGATAACTGGATTACTGGGGCTGGGAGCCAGTGAACCAGGGATTATTCCCTGCTGACTTTGTGGAGCGCAACATCCGCTGATTTACCAAGTATTCTCGTCTGCAAACTGTTCATGTCTCAGAGGGAATGAAGTGGTAGAAAGCATCCTGCCTATAATGTCTTCAAGCAGATTCTTCATTTTTATTGCCGTCATACCTACCTGCCCATATCACGCTCTGTATCTCAGTTCACCACTCCGTTTCAGTCACCAAAGTTAACAATAACTGTTCACAAAAGGATTATTTTCTAATACAGTCCATTCCAGGGATCTGAATTACAGCAGAGCTTTGCAGACAGTTTTTTTTTTTTTTTTTTTTTTTGAGCAGTGATCTGGGCTCATACCTACATGACTGGAGGTCAGAGAGGCTGGGGAAGCAGCTGAATATAAGTCAGTGTAAAAGCCCTCAGGGTGGATACTATGTGCTGGTTTCTTGCATGTGTAAAAATGGAAATGAAGCATTGTCAAGCTTTCTCCTTCACTGAGCATCCTTAGTGACGCACAGCCTGTACTGCAAATGAAGATGCAGGCCACACAATGTGAAGTGTTCCCACTGTGTCTTTGAAAATAGCTTATTCATCCTAAATTAGACAACTCCTTCAGTTTGTTACTGAACTTCATAAATCCCCTACTCACTCCCAGCATCTCATCATGACACACAGTCATCAAAAACTGACACAGCTGGAAGGGATGTCTGAACTGCATAACACCTAGGATGCATGCTCATAGAGAAGGAGGTATTTGAAGGT